AAAAAAAAAAAAAAAAAAAGATGTGCCAGGATTTGGAGAAGGAGCTATAAATTAGTGGGATGGTCCTCGGATTGCTCTGCGCGCGGGCAGGAAGCCCAGTGCGAACCAGCACAGCTCCACACACACGCACGTACCATGCACTCCCCACACACCCCTCCAGTGCAAATCCTGGCCATTAAAGCCTTTGTCCCATCACATTTTTATTTGAAGCACATTCTGTGCATGATTGCAAATGCCTTAGTAAACAGTAATGGAGTAATCAGCTCATCACTGCTTAAAAGCACTGATTCAGTCTTCTATTTGGCTTTACAATGGCTGCAGCTTCCTGGAGGGGCGAGAAGCAGATGTTTGTTCATCCCGAGGGGAAGCGGAGACACCAGGGCCCTTGTTGAGCTGGCCTCCTCGGCGGAGAGCCGCCCGCCCTGCGGCGAGGGAACAGGATGCGCTTCCTGCCCGGCCCGCGGCATGCGGAGCCTCCGGGGCCTTCCCGGTGTCGGTGCCGGGCGGCTCCGGGATGCGGCCGGGGGATGATGGTGGTGCTGGTTCCCAGGGGACGAGGAGCAGCCTCGGCCGAGCGGGTGCAAGGGCTGAGCGCGCGGGGCTGCCGGCCGGGCTCGTGGCCACGACGGCTGCACCCTGCAGCTCCCTGACAGCTCCCGCTCTCCTCCTCCTCCCGCCGGGCACGGAGACGCAGCACCTTCTCCAGCCCTCAATGCGGGTCGCTCAGCACCTCGCTCCCCCGACGGCAGCTCGCAGCGGGATGGCCCGGGACGCCTGCATGGGCCCTGGGCACCCGCGGTGCTCGGGTGGGAACCAGCCGGCCACGCAGCGCCCAGACCAGCCCGAGACGGGCCRGGCTCCTCCTGGCACCGTCTGCAGCGGATGGGGCACCCGCAGCCCCGCACGGCTCCCYGCGGCCAGGCCCCGGCTTTGCTCCTGCAAACAGAAGCAGCTGCATCCACCGCACAGAGCCAGACGCGGCTCCCGTGCAGCAAACCCAGCCTCTCCGGAGGGCAAGCGAGGCTCTCTCCATGGAAACGAGCCCGGCTGCRCTGCTCTGCGCCGCGCCGGGGACGCGGGATGCGGAGGGCAAGGAGGGCTGGGGAGCTGCGCCCCGCGCTCGGCGGGCTGCGGGTGCCTCCGAGCACCCCGTGCCCCGCCAGGGCGCTGCCATCCCCCCGATGCAGCGGCAGCACCAACCTCCCCTTCGCACAGGAGGCCTCCAGCCCGCCGTGTGCTGCAGGCACCGCGCAGGACGCGGACGCAGCCCCGCTCTGAGTGCTCAGACCCGCTGGGTCCTGCACAGGGCTGTTCCCCCCACCCATATCCCCCCCAAGCACCTCGTGCACCCCCCGCCTCAGCGCTGCAGCCAGAGCTGCCCCCCACGGGTGCTGCTGCCCCCCGTGCAGCCCCGGCACCGCAGTCGGCACCGTCGCAACCTGCGGCCTCCGCAGCGCGGCTGGCACGCGGGATGCATCCCAGCGAGCACAGCCTGGGATGCATCCCAGCAATTCCCAGCCCTGGGAGCAAGGATCCCTGCACGGACCGGGGAGCCAAGGGAAGGGCTGGGCTAGGTCAAGAGCCTCACTGTCTCAATGAGATCAGAATTGCCCTCAGATTCACCAGCTTTCCGCTTCCAGCTCCCGAGACGGCAGCGGCCCCGGCCCCTTCATGCAGCTCCACTCGAGCGGAGCTGCTGCTCACGGCCCCTGCGCCCCATCCCAGGCCAGGATGGGCCCGGGTGGCCGGCGGAGCGAGGCCCCTGCCAAGCCTCAGGCACAGGTCATTCCCGCTTGCTTTAGTCTCCGGGAAACAGGGAATTCTTGCTGCAGGATTATTGCTTTCGCTTTTGTACCTATTGCTTTTTTACTGAGTTTGACATTTAGAAAGGAAACCATAGTGCAAAAGCCTCCGTTCCTCCGTCTCCAGTTTTATTAGCTCTGTCCAGAGAGATGCCCTCRAGAGCTGCTGCCTGGCACTTGCAGGCACACATGCACCCAAGCCTTGTGCGCTGGCACAGCCTTCCTTTGCCGTGTGAGTCACTCTCCTGCTTGGCACCCAGGTCTGTATGAAACGGGACCTATGTGCATCTGGTAGTGATTAAAGAAAGAAAACTGGAGCAAGTCGGCTGCCAAAACCAGCTTAAAAATAAAATCCCTACTGTTGCTGTCTGGAAGTCAGAGGCGGACGCAGCCACGAATAGTTCCTCTTCCCTATCAGCCGGTCACCCCTTGAAGTGCCTGGCTGCGATGCAGCTGCGGAGCTGCTCTCGGGCAGGGGACAGAAACGTGCTGTTTCATCTGCACCAACGTAGCGTTAATCTTCATTTGTTCCTTGCCGGCTGCTCCGCCAGACAAGCAGCCTCCTCGCAGGCGAGCGCGCGGCAAAGCGGGGCAGCAAACGCACGCGGAGCCGTGATCCACCGCGTGAGGGGCTCCCACCGCCGCAGCAGCTTTGCTTGGGATGGAGCAGCGCACTGCCAAATTTTCCAGCGCTGCCCGTGACACGGAGGCCTCTCGGCAACGCTGCAAGCTCTTCCCCTGCAGCCAGACCTGCTGCAGCACAAGCTGCTCTCTGCAGGGCCAGCCCACAGCATCCATACCGGAGGAAGCCGGAATTCATCCCAGCCCAGAGAGCACTGGGTACCTCCCAAGGCGCTTGCATCACTCTGGAGGACGTTCTCCCTGCTGGTGCGACCCACTGCTGGTGCAGMCAAGTCATGTCCAGAGCCCCAACCTGCCGGGCACGGCACAGCACCCCGGGCACCACCGCTCGGCACCCACACAAGGAGATGCTCCTGGTGGAGGTCCTCCAGCCGYGGCTTTCCAGCGCATCCCGAGACCGTGCACAACCCCTCTGGAGCTGCTGTGCGCCAGGGGCCACGGGCTCAGGGCTTGCTGGCACGCACAGGGCGCTCTGGCTGGCAACCCACAACTCCCTCTGTGAAGAGCTGCCTGTGATCAATGGTGCAGTCACAGGATCACTGAATGGTTGAGGTTGGAAGGGACCTCTACAGATCATCTAGTCCAACGTCCCTGCTCCAGCAGGGACACCCAGAGCATGGGGCACCAAGCGGCATCCAGGAGGGTTTGGAAGAGCTCAAAGAAGGTCGTAGGGGCACAAGCTCCAGATGAGGGGCATCCTTGGATCATCCTTGCATCATCCTTGCATCCAGAGTCTGTTTGGGGACCGGCTGTGCATGGGATCCATCTCCACTCCCTTCCCCACGCTCCTGCTCCCGACACTGGCGCCCTGGTTAATATTACATGAAGTGTCGGGGAATGTAATGGTTCTCATGATGAGTCGCTTCTCTGGCAGGGCAGAACATGATGAAGGTGTTAATAATAACATGATATTTTATTTATACCACACCCTGMAAGCTGAAAAAAATCCCCGTGCAATTCAGAGATGCGCTGAGCATGGAGCGATGCAGCTTGCAGCAACACCCGGGTCCAGTCGCAGGGTGGCTTTGAATCCGGGCGATGCTGGCGACACATTTGCATGAGAAAGATGCGTCTAACAACCCCGCTATTGTCCCCTCCCAGGACCCGAGCTGAGGCATAAAAGCAGGGCCGAAATCCTGGGCGGGAAGGGGGGCTGAGGCAGCAGCTGTCTGGGTGCCCCACGGTCCAGGCCGGAGTCTGCACAGATCCCGCTGGGCTTCTAGAAATCCAGGGGGTTCCAGAAATCCAGGGGGCTTCCGAGCTGCCCTTTCCTCCCCAGGAGGAGCACAGGAACACCAGGAGGACACCRAGTCCCCCCAAACTGGCTCCCCATTGCGAGAAAGAGGGGAGGAGGAAAACATGTTTTCCGTCCCTCTTCTTTCGGCTGGACTGAGCTGCGGGGCCCGGCGTGAAACAGGCAGTTGCGGCTCGGATGCAGGCTTGCAGGAGGCAGTGTCCCATGCACCAGCAGCTCCCGAGAGCGGCCTTCCCACGCCCTGCTCTGCCTCCGCGGTGTGCCGCACGCTCCAGCTGCTGCTCCCTCTGGAAGCAGCAYCGGGAGCACCAGGGGCCACGTGTGCGGAGCTGCACGGAGGGGCAGCAGGGCCACCAGCCCTGAGGCTCCTACAAAGGCTTCGTTCCTCCTCTGGCCCCAACACACTGTTTTCTTGCTCATGGGACCTTACCGCAGACCCCTGAAGACCTGGGATGGAAGGGGCTGCCCCAAAGCTGCGCAAAGCAGCAGGCAGGGCCGCCCGTGACCAAAACCCACAGCTAACCAGCTCGGACCGCCGAGCAGCTCAGTCGGCTGTGAGGATGGATGTGACGGGGACGAAGGGAACRGCACCCGCACAGGCTGAGGTGGCATTTCTGGGCCCCTCTCCAGATGGCACGACGGACACCCGTCACTCGGCGGGCAGCTCCGCTGCTTGCGCTTCCCACCGGAGCAGCAACACAACCGCCGGAGGCGGCAGCAGGGAGGCAGCGGCGTGGGATGCCCACGCCCATGGGGCGCGCGCAGCCTTCGGGGACACGTCCCCGGGCGAGCGCAGCCACCTTCACGCACGGCTGCGCACGCCGGCTTCGCTCGGAGCCCGCCGGCTCCTTGGCTGCCGGATGAGGCTTCTCCCGCGGCGCGGGCTGGGCCTGTGAACTGGGCGGCTTTGCTGAGCGCACATCTCAGCCTCGAGCAGGCTGAGCCTCTGCCCGCTGAAGCAAGAGCATTTCTGCGGTCATTTCTGCCTCGACTCTTCCAGCTCCCGCCCCGTTGGTTGCTGACCTGCTTGGGAACACAACCCAGCTGCGCGTATTTTTAGGCTCAGCAAAGTATTTGAGCCGAGACGGGACATGACTGTGCTCCTTGCAGACTCCCAGCCTCCATGGGCAGCCTGGGAGGAGTTATTTCTGCTTGTRAAGGATCGCTTTGCATTTTTTCTCTGCCTGAGTGTGCGAGCAGCAGCAAACGCTTCCCGGACCAGAGCCACCTCCAGCCTGAAGACGAGGCGGCCGYGCAGCGGAGCCGGGATCCGCAGCACAAGCAGCCTCAGCTCTCGCTGCCAAGCCCAGGCCGCTCTGCGGGTCCCGAGATCCCGACGGGACACAGCAAYGGCATCGACAGCGCCGCTCCCTGCGGCACCTCGTGGTCCTCACGTGCCCCTTGGCACCGCGGCGCGCGGAGACGCGGCTGGCAGCGCTTTGCAGAGCACCATGTGTGGCCAGGAAGCCTCCGGCTGTGCAGGGCCGGGGAGGAGCCTTCCCGCGGGTATCCGGAGGCACCCAGCCCTTTGGGGAGCCACATTCCGCAGCCCAGCGGCATCCTGTCAAACAGGAGTTTCCCTGTTGTGCCATGAGACAAGCGGGCTGTGCAGGGAAGTCGTTCCCGTGCCAAGGACACGCAGCAGGGAACTTGCCAGAAGGGGAGTTCGGAGAGAGCAGCCACATGGCTCCGTGTGGGCGGCGGGGCCGGAATGCCGCGGCTCCAGGGCCCAGGATGGTGGCAGATCCCCCCTCCGCCTCCCATTCCACACGGGCACGTCACCTTCCCGCAGAGGCTCGAGGACGGGGCAGGTGGCAAAGGTGTTTGGAGCACGGGATGTCCCCGCTGCACCGCAGCCTGGCGCCCAAAGCCACCCCGCTCGTGCTGCCTGGTGCAGCACAGGCCCGGAGGAACCCCGCACTTCGCAGGAGGGACAAATCCGCCCGGCACCGGCCCACGTGTCCCACCGGGCAGCTCCGCACTGCTGGGAGCTGGAGCTCTGCGGGCAGCTCATACTGCTGGGCGGCCACCGTGGGCGCAGGAGCCACCGCGCGCGGCCCCTGCAGTCCCCAAACCTTCCACAACCAGCTGCGAGGAGAAACTCGGCAGCAGCCTGCAGTCTGCAGCTACGGATGCAGCGCGATTCCCAGGGAAAATGGCTGTGCACGGCTCGCAGGACCTCTCCCTGCAAGCAGGCTGTTACAAGGGGCTTACGCCTTTCGTAAGGACAAGAGAGGAAGGATCAAAGTTCCTTTCCCCCCCGGCTATAGCGAGAGGAATAAGGCAAACACTGAGCTTTTGTTTAAAGAGATCAAAACGAGGGCAGAGCAACATTAGGGCAGGTGTCAGATGCACACGCAGCTTCAAAGCCTCCTCTCCACGTCCTTTTCTCTAACGCGTGCAGGAGCAGAGTCAAACGCTATGGAGACTTCCCCAAACTGCCAAGGCATCGTACACGCTCCCGCGCTCCCAGGAGGAAGTTTCTCACCTCAGACACGGCCCTTGTGGCCGAGATGCCCCGATCCCTTTCAGGGGCAGCTGCCAGGACCTCCGGGTCCCGGCTGAGGGTTTGTCCCAGCCGAGCAGAGCAGTGGCCCCGGCAGCCCCACCGTCCCGGCTCTCCCGCTGTGCAGCACTGGGCGCAGCCGCTGGGCATGGCACATCACAGCACAGCATGCACCGGCGAAAGGAAGGACCCGTTTTTTGTCTCAAGATGAACAAAGCAGCGCAAGCAAAGCCTTCCCAGTCAGAAAACCCCAGCACAGGCTCGAGAACAGTATTTTACACACASAGCCAGTCCAAGGCTCAGTAAACCCTCTGATCAGGGTATAGTCAGGCCAATCCAACAGCTCTGATGAATGCAAAATTACAGCAAGGAATTTGACCGTACAAGAGCAATGCAATTCTGCGGGCGCGTGCTGATGCACTGTTGCTCTTGGACACCCCAAACTTCGCTTCTCATCACGACTCCAGAAACAAAGGGGAGACGCCGCAAATCTGTGCCCGGCCGYGGCCAAGCCGGGGCTGGAGGTGACCGGTGCCCCCAAAGGCATGAGGGCTCCGCGGGCGCCGCTGCCAGTGCTGCTCGCGGCGGCTCCCCGGGATGCGGCACCCGGAACGCTGGGGCAGCCGCGCTCGCTCCGTCCCGCGGCGCCTTCCCGGCCGATGCGGGGCCGCCCCGCGCCGCTCCCCGAGCCCGTTGCGCTCTGGCTCACGCGTGTCCCGGCGCGACCGAGCGCGGAGGACGCGGGAGCCCCGGAATCCCACGGCGGGGTGGGGGCGGGAGACCCCCGGGAGCATCGAGAGCGCCGCTACCGCCCGCGGCCCCGCGAGCCCCGCGCCGCCCCGGGGGGCGCCCCGAGCCCACCTGAGGTGTCCCACATGTTGAGCTCGGTGCGCTGCTTATCGATCTCGAAGCTGGCCGTGTAGTTCTCGAAGACGGTGGGCACGTAGCTCTGGGGGGAGAGGAGCAGAGCGGGGCGGTGAGCGGGGGGCCGCGCGGGGCGCCGCCGCCCGCCCGCCGCCCCGGGCCGCACCTCGGGGTAGCAGTCCTTGGCGAAGACGTGCAGCAGCGCCGTCTTGCCGCACTGCGTGTCCCCCACCACGACGATCTTGCAGCGCGCCAGGTGCCCCTCCATGGTGCGGGGCCGCGCCGCCCGCACCGCCGCTTTACCGGCGCCGCCCCGCCCCGGCCCGCCCTCGGGCCGCCGCCGCCAACGGGCGCGCGCGGGGCCCCCCGCGCCGCCCCAGCCCCGGCACCGGCCCCGCCGCCCGCGCCGCCCCCGGCCGCGGAGCTGCCGCCCTCTCCCCGCGGCCGCGGAGCTGCCGCTGCCGCAGAAGGCGGCGGAACCGCGCGGGGACGGAGGCTGCGGTGCCGGTGCCCGGTGCCTCGGGGGCACCCGGCCGCCCTGGGCCCCGTACACCCACCGTGCGCCCGGCGGGTGCAGCTGAACCCGTCCAGGCTTTGCGGCGGGTCCCTCTGCACGGGTGTGCGCCGCAGGACGTGCGCGCGTCCCCGTCCGCGCGCGGGTCACCCCCGCGCTGCGCCCCGCRCAAGGCGAGGTGCAGGGCGCCGTGCGAGCGGCGGGCACCCCGCAGCCCYGGCCAGACGCCTCCGCTGCGGAAAGCTCCGCGCCACGTTCCCCAGCAGGAATCGGGCTCTGCTTCCCAACGACCGATTGCTGCGCCCTGCTACCGAGGGTGCGGGAAGCCGAATCCATCCGGAGCGCTCGAGGCTGCCGCACAGCCCCGGGACCCGCAACATCCCTGGGCAGGAGAGCGAGTGCCCGGCCCTTGCTCGGCTGCCTGGGCCGCTGCCCACCCGGCCCTTGCGTGCAATGGCAGCTGTGCGTGGCCACGTGCTCCGCGTTGGAGGACGTGGCGAGACGCGCGGGCGCTGCTGTGGCTGGCGCTGCTGCGCCTGGCGCTGCGGCTGGCGAGCGCAGTTGGCTCCCACACGTTTGCTCCTGACGGTGCTGCGTGGAATCCACCTGGATCCACCAGGATTGCACCATCTGTGCGCGGAATCCACGCACGGATCCACCTGGACTCGCCCTGGTGTGGCTGCCAGGKTCAAACATGGCAGGGAAGCGAGCGAGGGGCTGCCCCTCTCTCAGCGCATGTGTTCTCCAGCGTCTCCTTGGATTCTGGGATCTGGGAAAGGGCTGCAGCTCCGCCAGGCGGAGTGGCACCGCCAAGCCCAGGCAGAGCCCTGGCCGATCCCAGCCCGTCGCCCATGCGGGGGCAGCGGGGACAGTTCCACAGCGGCGGGCAGCGAGGAAAAGGCCCAGCCGCAACCCGGGCCGCCCGCCGCAACTCCGCGCTCCGGGTTTTCACCGCCCCCGGCCCACGCCCCGCTCCACCGCTCAAAACCCACTCCGGGTTTTCGTCGACCCCGCCCTGGTCCCGCCCTGGCCGCGCCCCGCTCCGGGTTTGCCCCGCCCCGCTCCGCCTCCCGCGGCCGCGCCCGCTCCGGGTTTTCCCCGCCCCCGGCCGCGCCCCGCTCCGCCTCCCGCGGCC